AATCAATAAATCAATAAATCAATAAATCAATAAATCAATAAATCAATAAATCAATAAATCAATAAATCAATAAATCAATAAATCAATAAATCAATAGATCAATAAATCAATAAATCAATAAATCGAAAAGGAAGAAACTCCATCGTATTCAAATCTAGAATGCCACTTTATCTAAAGAAGAAAACATTCGACCAATGTGTCCTACCAGTCATGAACTATGCATGCGAAACCTGGACACTTAAACCGGACATCATAAGGACTGCAGATCGCACAACGCTTAATGGCCGAAAATATGCTGAGAATAACCAAGGGAGACCGTAAAAGAATAGAGTTGATACGGCAAAAGACCCAAGTAGTAGATATCATACACAGAGTCAAATCCCTCAAATGGCAATGGGCAGGACACCTGGTAAGAAGGACGGTGAACCACAAAAATTACAGTATGGTATCCACGGGGAATCAATAGACCTAGAGGAAGACCAAACTTGAGATGGTACCATGATGTTACGAAATTAGCAGGGATAACTTACCCAAACCGCATACCCAACAATAGAATGGTTGCAATTACAAAGAAATTATTTAAATATGTGAGGGACGCTACACCATAATTGAAAATGATAATGAACAATATCAATTTTTGTGCAATGCAGTTTAAGTGCAATAGAGAGCTAATAATTGACCTCTTTCTTTTTCAAACGAATTGATAGATAATTAAATTTTAAACAGATTTGATAGACAATTAAATTGTGTATCTGATTCTCGTAAAATATACAGGGTGTTCCATTTAAATTAAACATTTTTTTTTTTTTTTTTTTAATGAATTATTTAAATAAATTTTAGGACACTCTGTATAAGGTATTATTTTAATTATTGCAACACAATAACTGATCAAAAAAAAAATAAACTTCAGTAAATATTTAGTATTAAAAACTTTGATACCCTTGAGAAATGAAGCCTTAAAATTTTAACTGCAATTTCACAAAATTGAAAATATTTCAGACACGGTAAGGTTTAAGTATAATAAATCTAATCAAATTTACCTTTATTTTAATCGTAGAAACTAAAATGTAATAATATACAAGGTGTTCCATTTAAAAAAATACAACTTTAATATTTTTACTTATTTGGGACACTCTGTATCTTGTAAAATTATTTTTAAATTGTACCTCTAATAGTCCTTGATCGAACCCAAAACTTACAATTTGTAAAAATCTCATCGTTTAGCTACAATACTCCGTGTCGTATGTGGTGAACAACCCTGTATACACGATATCTTGGACTTTGTATTGACCATTCTGAGAACTATTTCGAAATTTGGTTTTGTGATTCACACTCTAGGATGCAGTTTGTAATAACAAAATGACCTTTGATATCATAAATTTTTAGAGAAAAAAAACGCTGTACGAGTATACTGAGCAACATTCTTTTCAGTTTCGCTGTTGATGTTTTTGTTGACATTGAAAATATGACTTTGTCACAACTAAACAGTTAATTTAACTTATGCAAATTAGGTTTAATTTATTTGTTTCATCATTAAACTCCCTGTGTTAATATCTTCGCGGAATTTGTTTAAAAAATCTATACTAATAAATAAAATCCTTAAGTGACTGACATACTGATTAATCACGATCCTGTTCAAACCACTCAACGTAAGAAGCTCAATTTTGGCATACAGATTGATTGTAGGGTGTAGAGGTTCGATAAGAAGGGATTTTTCGAAATTCCAGTTCCGAGGGTGAAACCACCCTCAAATATTACAATATTTTTATTTAAAAACGGTCAAGTTTCCAAAAAACGCTTAAACACGTATATTTTATTTTGTTTTTTTACATATTTTAAAATTTTTTAAAAATCTATACAGGGTATTTCTGAAAATCTGGTAATTGATTAAACACGATCCTGCTTAAAGCGCTTACGTAAAAAGTTGATTTTTGGAAACAGATTGTCTTTAGGGTGTAGAGGTTCGATAAGAAGGATTTTTCGAAACTCGAATTCTAAGGGTGAACTATCCCTCAAATATTAAAATATTTTTATTTAAAACCGGTGAGTTTTTCGGAAAACTCTTAACACGTATATTCTATTTTTATTGTTTTACATATTTTAAGATGTTTTATAAATTTATACAGGGTATAAAATATGACTATTGAGAAATCACGACTTGCTTAAACTGCTTGGACGTTTAAAGCTGATTTTTGGCAAACGGATTGACTGTGGGGTGTAGTGGTTCGATAAGGAGGGGTTTCTCGAATCTCAAATTCCAAAAGGGTGAAAACGCCCCTCAAATATTACAATATTTGTTATTTTAAAAACGGTTATTTGGTTTTTTTACATATTTTGAAATTTTTTAAAAAATAATACAGGGTGTCTAACGGCTGGGATATTGGTTAGCTATTCAATTATTCTTGAAATTGGCTGCAAAATTTTTTTGTTAACTTCAGCTTTCAGATGCGGTGCGTCGTCTTGCTGGAAAAATATGTTTTCGAGTTCCATTAAGGTATATCATTAATAAGGTCCAGCCTACTAGTTAAAAGTGGCAAACTTTTAAAAATTCTGTATTTCGAAGGGGATTATAACAACAAAATATCAAGTGTGCTATATTATTGGAAAATTTTAAATTCTTTTCAGTTAATTAAAATATAGAGGGTTTCCCAAATAAAAAATCACTTTTTCTGTTAATAACTCTTAAATTATTAATTTTAAAAAATTATACTTAAACCACAATTTACGTAAAAGGTGCTTTGGAAATGTTTTCATAGAAATACAAAATTTTCTTAATAGGAAAAAAGTTACAGCGATTTGTTAAAAATGCACATTTTTGAAAAACACCCCTAACTTCGAAACGGTAAATAGATATTGATGTGGGATTTCACCATCACATTTTGATGAAAATTTGTTCGACACCGATATTAGTTAGTTTTCGTCTATCTCCTATAGAAAAGGGTGTTTCCATTTAAAAGCGTCGAATTTGACCCACCCTGTACAGGTAGTACACACTGTTAGAATGTTTTCTTCTTTAGACAAAGCGGCATTCTATATTTAAATATAATAGCATATTAGTCCAAATCAACCAAGTAGTATATTAAAATATAAATCTTGGAAAAATCCAAGAAAAACATTACAGCTTGATAACAGCCAGCGTGTCTGATGAAATTAAAGTTACCAAGAAACAGTACCATCAAAGTAAAGACCGCACGAACAGAACAGCTGTTTCAATGTTAAACATCGTTTTTTTCATTGATATGAAATCTAAAGCAATTAATTTAGCTCGTAAGATCATAAACACACCGAGTGACAATCGCGAAATTCTCAAAATTATTTATATTATTATTAATCACTAATTATATTTCTCGAAATTATCAGCAGGTTTAATAAGAGAAGTGTGTATAGGAGATAGGAGATAATCAATGTTACGAAAATACTTTACTTTTCTAAATGAAAATTTCTTCTTGGAATGACATTGTTTTAATTTGACATTTTATACATTGTAAACTGGCCTAAATAAATAAAAACCTATTGCAATCACATAGAGTACTGATATTTTTACCATCATGAATTTGTTGAAAATGGGGCTCTCAATGCCCACCGGTATATTAAGGATGTTCTCCAAGAAGTTGTCGTTCCGATTGCTCCTTTCATTAGAAATCGGTTTATTCTGGTTCATGATAATGCCAGATCCCACGTTGCGCGGGGTAACGAGTTAGGAGTACGCTCAAGTAGCATTTTCACGACTTGCGACCACATGTTTACTAAATACAACGTTGGATTTCATGGCCATAGCTGCGTACCTAGGTATTAACATAACAAACGTAGTTGTAACGTTGTGCCGACGTTGAACTAGTACTACAACAGAGTAAAAGCTTCTGCGACGCCGACGTCGAATAAACGTTGTCTTGTAAACTTTTTTGCTTAAGTGATCTTTTAGGTGATTCGGACAACGTAGCTACAATGTTGGGTAATAAGGAGTTTTCCGACGTCACTTTCAGGACCTATTCCAACGCTATGCAAACGTCGTCTGTTTACTAATTCCAACGTTGTTAAGATTTCCTTATTCTTACGTTGGTAGGGCGTCGAGTCACTACCTTTTAGCAACTGTATTGAACCATATAACCTTAAATCTTAAATTTTCACTTCATGTTCTGTTCAGTCAGACAGTTCAGTGCTGTTTTGTTTTTATAAAAAAACTTAATTAAAATGGGACGTCAGAAAGGCACATATAAAACTAAATTTAAATATACATCAACATATTACCGATACTTTATCCACTCCCTCGATTATTTAGAATATAGGGGGCGGCACATGCTAGACTCCAGGATGACTAAATTAGGCAATCTTGCGACTAGTATACTACCTGTTAAGGCTGAACTGCGACTTTATTAGTCCAGTATGCGACTACTCGAACTACTCTATCTTAATCTTAATCTTAAAATGGGAAAGTATAAAAGGAAAAGTGACCTAGAACTAAAATTTACTCAGGAAATGTTAGTCCAAGCTCAACAACGTATTGCAAAAGGAGAGAGTAAAAGATCAGTAGCTAAATCATTCAATGTCAACGAGTGTTCGCTCAGAAAGAGGCTACGTTTGGTATATTATACTTAATAGTCGCATTTCAACAGGATTTTATTTTATAACTTTTAGGCACTGTTCCAGCAAATTTGGGAAGGTTTAAACCAGTATTTACGGCAGAACAAGAGAAATAATTAGCGGACCACATTCGCGAACTTGATGTCCGTTTTTATGGATTACGCGTTAGGGATGTAAGATCTTTAGCGTACCAGTTTGCTGAAGTCAATCGTATTTCGCACCGATTTGATACAGAAAAAAAATAGCGGGCAAACATTGAGTTCAAGCCTTTGCCGCACGAAATTCATTATCCGTGAAGAGTCCAGAAAAATGTAGCCTAGCTCGCACTATTGGGTTTAATAAAATACAATGCGACAGATTCGTTCAAAATTTAAAATCTGTTTATTCGAAAACAAATGCTCCAGCACATAGTCTTTAACATGGACGAGACTGGGCTTTCGACGGTCCCAAACAAACTTCCCAAGGTCTATGCTCCCAAGGGTAAAAAAACTGTTTCAAAAGTAGTCTCTGCCGAAAGAGGCCAATTGGTCACCGCTGTCTGCTGTATGAGCGCTTCGGGTATCTGGGTGCCACCGGGACTTATTTTTGCCAGAAAGCGCATGAAGGATGAGCTGCTTTATGGCGCACCAGTAGGTACATTAAAGATGAATTCGGATACTGGATATATGAATTCGGAATTGTTTGTAACTTGGTTACGACATTTCTGCGAATTCGTAAAGCCAACCAAAGCTGATCGAGTGGTATTGATATTAGATAACCATGCGTCCCATTGTTCGCTAGAAGCCATCTTATTTGCTAGAGAGCATTCCATAATTCTTTTGACGTTGCCTCCCCACGGAAGCCACAAGATCCAACCTTTGGTTCGCGGATTTTTCTTCCCATTAAAGTCAGCCTTTGCAAATGAATGTGATAAGTGGATGGTGAACAACGCTGGCAAAGCTATCACGATGAAAGAAATGGCCGCTCTCTTCCATGCAGCTTATTCAAAAGTAGCAACCATTCAAATTTGTGAGAAATCTCTTGCGTGCACGGGCCTGTATCCATACAACCCAGATGTTTTTACTGAACATGATTTCGCACCAGCTGAAAAACCTACATCTGGTGTAAGAAATGTTTTCAAATCTACAGCTCAAAAACGTGACACAAAGAAAAAAAATGAATAATAAGGATGATAAGACAATTTGCCCTGGATGCAACGAACATTTCAGCACTTCAGATTGGTTGCAGTGTCAAAGTTGCCAGGAATGGTGGCATGAAGACTGCTCCAGTTACCAGGGAGGCAGTCAATTTTGTTGTGACTTATGCGGTTTCTAATTTTTTTATAAACTCTTAGTTTCTTCCGTCATGAATTTTATATTTTAGTTCAGAATAAGCCATCTTATACCAGAGTTAATTTATATTTTTCATGCGTACTCTTGGGTATATACCTTGCGTACTCTTGTGCACCTAGGTATCTGAGAGTACACATTTTGTTTATTTACTTTTATTTGTTATATTTTTCTTCATTAAAACTACATAACACATTTATGTCAACATTATCTTACAATACGATTCAATGTATTATGTCAGTATACCAATAAATGATTTAAACAAATAATTTTTTTTATTGGAAAAAACAAGTTAAGTGCGTACTCTTGAGTGATCCTCCCCTATCCATACACTCTAAAAAATTTTAAATACATTTAAAATCATATTTATTAGATATTCAAAAGGGTTAGGTTTAGGTAATTTAATATACTGTTATTGTATAACTTATTTTTTTTCTTTCTCTTAATTTATTATTAAAATATTTATTTATTGATTTATTAATCATTATATTTTCGTATAGATCATTAGATTATAATATTGGTGTTAGACTGTAAGTATTACTGTAATTTTTTGGATTAAGTGTGAGTGGCTTTTTTTAGCCAGACTTCGATACGTTTCCGATACGCTTCAGTCCGTCCGCCAAAAATTGATATATTTTGACTGAACAGGGAACACTAACAGGTAAAATTTTAGGTGTAGAGGTTTCTTTAGCAAACTTTGATACCTACTCCCATATGATTGCCTAAATAAACGATAATATAAATAGTTTAAAAATATTTTGTTCGACTTTTGAGTGAATATTATTGCATACGATATCAAAATATAAATATGTGTGGAATAATTTATAAATAAAGCAATAAATTGTTTATTATTTCCTTATATGGGGACTATCAGCGATTTAGATAAATTTATGACGCTTACTTATTTGTTATTTGACATTTTTTGCCAAATTATATCGCGTTGTGAGGAGATTACAAATTAGAAGTCAAATTTGCTCTATTGAATAGATAACGGAAATAACATTTCAAATGATATTAGCAAAGTAAACGGAATAAATTGAGAAAAATAATAAAATTATTTTGGTTATTAGGTTGAAAATATTATTGAGATATATTTTATTATATAATAAAGAACGAATGATACTTTTATATTATGACACCAATATATACAGAGATGCCATAGCAAGAGCATAATGATATATAAAACAACAAACAACCTGAGAGTTCCCAACTGGCAAAGTAACACGACAGGAACAACAGAGGAAAAAAATTGGTGCCCATACTAAAATAAGTTAAAAAGAAGTTGGTAGACAGTTCTTTTAGTTTCAAAGTAAAGGAATTTTTCCAATTCTTGGTCCGCGGTTATTTCCCCTATCCGCCACCTGGGGTCGCGTCAGATAGGAGTTTGGAGTTCTCCACACGGATTTTTGAAAAAGGGACTACGGAAACACGGAATATCTTAAAAACTGCGACTTTGACGACGGATTCTGATGTTATTACAAATTTTGTTGCAAATATTATTCCTAATCTTAAATTGAAAACCGCGTTTCGCTAGCTACTGTAATTTTGGAGTTACGGTTTTTTAAAAATTTTAACCCCCTCCCATACCCTCTTACCAACCCACCATCCCCACCAAACACTAATGGCCAGACTCTCGGGTGCCACAGTATTTTTGTGCCAAATTTGGTTAAAATCGGTTTAGCGGTTTTTGAGTTGTCGTGTTACAGACGGACAGACAGGCAGACACCATGAAAATATTTTGTATTTAGGTCATTTATGACACAAATAACTCATTTTGAGTGAAATTAAAAAAACGTTTTTTTTTGCCGATCTTAATAGCCTACCATACCTGTTGGTATGGTAAAAAATTACTAAGCGTATATTTTGAAAACAATATTACAGTTTTATTATTTTAAAACTTATTTAAAAAAAAACAGAGAAAATATAATTATGTTATTTATAAACAAAGAATATAAATTTAAACACGAACATATCATTAAACTCCTTTGATAGGCTACAGAGAAGGAATTAAATAATTAAAATACTAATAATAATTACAATAAATTTGCGATTGTCGCTGTTTGCTTTGACATGCAATTAATTGCTTTGTTATTTTATATCGATTAAAAACTATATTTAAACAGTGAAATTGATGTTTTTGTATGCAAATGTTTCAGATAATTTTTATCATGTGTTTTATTTAATTTTAACCTACCAGAAAATTGGGGCTATATTTTTTCTGATGTTTTTTTTGCAATAATTTTCTTTCATACTTAAAACAACGTGTCACCCAGTGTCAATTTCATCATGAAAGTTAAAGAATAACAGACCCTTTTTTTTAGTTTTACGACAACACAGACAAAATAATATTTGACTTCAATCAACAAAAAATCTTTAAAAAAACTTTATAAAAAAATTAGAGTCCAAGTCCAAATATTTTGGTTCTGTGATATTCGATTCTTGAGTAAGTGCGATACATCATTGTAGAATGTAGAATATACAGGGTGAGTTTTCGACCATGTTCTCTATGGGTATCTCCAAAACTACTGGAGATAGAGACTCGGTTAAATGGGGAAAGCTGTTTTGAAGGGAGATAAATATGTGCCTTTCAGAATTTTGAAAAAGTTCGTGGCTTACTAGATATTTCGAAAAAAATAAATTTCGGCTATTTTAAAAATGGTCCCTAATTCCATTATAAGCTATTTTAGACAAAAGGTTTTCAGATAAAAATTGGCGATAATTCAGTAATTTCTCAAAAAAAAACATATTATAACTTATATCGCTGAAAAGCTTAAAAAAATTCGCTTTTTATGAAGTCATTGCCACTTGTGGTTTCCATTTAAAAAAAAACATATGTTTTTGTCATATGTGTCAAAAATGACAGCCTTTAGAAAAAAAAACGGAGAACACGATTTCAAGGATGTAATTATCTACAACTTTTATCTGAAAACTTTTTGTCTAAAATAAATTATAATGGAATTAGGGACCATTTTTAATATAGCCAAAGTATTTTTTTCGAAATATCTAGTAAGCCATGAACTTTTTCAAAAATCTGAAAGGCGCATATTTATGATCTAAAACTGCAATTCTTTCCCCATTTAACCGACCATCCATATCTCAGTAGTTTCGAGATACCCACAGAGAACATGTAGAAAACTCACCCTGTATAGAAGGGGTTTAATCACTGGGGGACCTATTGTGCCCCCCTTTCTTGAGTTGTAATTCACCATATATTCTCAGGGCTTTGACGAAAGTCAGTATTTGAGACGGTTATAGTTTTTCCAACTCGGATATCAGTCGTACCAAAGTTTAGGTCATGAATGGTTGTCGTCTCGGCGCACTCAGTCATGAGATGTTCTGGTGTTTCCCCATTTTCTCCACAGAATCTGCATTCGCCGTTTTTTCTAAGCTTAAATTTACTGAGGTGTTCCTAGAGGAGACAGTGTCCTGTTAAAATTTTTTGAAAGCCTGTACAAGCTCCATCAGTAAAAGAGCACACATCATATCGTCGGTGAAATGTGATAAACTGCTAACTCCATTATTTCTAATTTTACAGGAGAGCAAAAAAACGGTACAAAAAAATATGTCCACATATAGGAACTATTTTCATGCGTTAATATGATAAAAAGATAAGAATTTTATTTGCTGGGGAACAATAAAACTCAATATTTCGTGTTACATAATTTTTTTCAGACACAATAGGGAGATAGCAGATATTCGTCTTGCAGAAATAAAAATATACTTCTGGAGATAGCACCCTTTATTGTTTGAAATTTTGAAAATGGAATTGAATATTACCCAAACAGATTTAGAAATAATGAATTAAATTTAAAAAATATGATATACATAACCATATATTTAGAATATCGTCGGTCTAGAAGCAAAACATACCAGTCCAAAATCAATGATCCATTCAAACTTTTGTCGTTCAAGTCCCGAATTGCTTTCAAGTTGAAACAAGACTTGAAACGTGTGAACTAGGCAGTCAATCAACTAGCCACGGTTTTGGTAGTTTTTGGCAAGAAATATTATTGAAAATAAAAAAATAGTGTTAACAATGAGTGTTAAATGGTCAGAAAATTTGATTATGAAGTTTTTTGAACTATATCAAAGACATGAGTGCCTCTGGAACTATCGCATCAGTGACTATAAAAACAAAGACGCAAGAGAAACCGCTTTGGGTTGTATCGACGCCATTTTCAAACTGAACCGGGACTATCAATTTCTGCTGCGTATGTGAACTTTACTTGATCTAGTCTTTATTCAACTTTTGTTGATCAACTAAAGTTGTTCAACCAAACTTGAGTCGTTAAGAATTTTAGATAGAATCTTTCAAGTCCTAGGTGGCCGCGTGGTTAAAGCGTTAGGACTTTACGTTGCTATGACGTTGTAGCCTTAGTAAGGCAGGTTCGAATCCTAGTCAAGGCGACTTTTTTTTAATCGTTTTTCTTAATTTTTACATATTTTTACATATTTATTATTGATTAATACAATTTTTAGTAATGTGTTTCTTCATTTTTTTTAAATTACTTATACGCGTATTCAGAATTTCAGTTAAATCGGAAAAAAAGTTTATAATAATATAGTGTCTAATGTGTATAGATCATAGACTTAAAATAAAATATAGACTGAGCATCTCATTCATAAATAGCTGGAACATGCGGTCAGACACTGTCTTGTTATTGTTGTGTTATTGTTTTAGGTTATAACGAGTGCGACACGAACGATAGATAGGTTGTCTCTGTCGTAACGGTCGTTCTCTGACGACTCTGCCGAGAAACACAACACAAACTTTCGTTTCTCAAGTACACCTGAACTCTCCGTATCATAGCCGGGTAATTTTTTTATTTTAATGA